TACTGGAGTTGAATAACTGTCATTTAAAAAATGAAAGCTTAGGAGATGGTATTTTCCACTCTCAGAGAATATATTTTAGCCGTTTTTCTGAGTGGGTTGCACTCAACGAGCTCATGAGGGTGGGTGCCGGAGTTTTCCTTCTACCCGTAAAACAACTTAACAAACTCGACTAAGTCCTGTCGCTGAACGATAAAGGTCTCAAGTGATGGGAAGTATTTCAAGGACAGTTGCAAAATTTGCTGATGGGTATAAATTTCATTGTTGTCCATTTATCCAGAACAAAAGGGCTTTTACAACATAAATAGATCGTACTGGTTGAATATTGCAGTACTACTTTAGTTGGTTTCTGAGTTAACTGTTGCTTAGTGGGATTCTAGGGGTGCGAATTCGAATGAAACATATCAACGGTAATAGAGTCAAATCTAATAAAAAAACTGATGTTTCTATGTTGGCGCATTTCTCTTATTTGCATGTCTATTCGTACAATGTGCAAGGACTTGCCGAGAGTTTTTATCAAGTCTTGAAAATTGGAATCAAACACGGAGTAAGCAAGCAGTAAAACCGGTTATCTACTTAAATTAGTGTGAAAAAGGTTATAATCTGGTTAGCGGTTAGTGCTGACCTGTGGTGCCGTTTGTGGAACCATATCGCGCAACGCATCCTGACATGCATTTTGTTGGAAAAAGGCTGGTGACTGGCTCATCACCTTGTTCTGTGGACGGCTAACTGTCTGAACAGTCTTTCGTTCTTTATTCGATGGAAGAATGTACTTGAAATCTGGCCGTGAATGTACTATTTTTACACAGGCTAAAGTAGTTAATGACGACAAAGTAGAAGCGGCGACTCACCATCCTGAAAGACTCGTTCTACATTTAGTCCGTATGTAGCACATGTTTCGTAGTATGGACACTTGTGTAAGTCCAGCGCAAGGTGTCTGGCTTGGGCGTCATCAATAACACGCGGGTTCTTTTCGGAAGTAAGATCTGTAGGCAAATGGAAGGACTGTCAAAAAGTTTACCTTGTGTTCCAACTAATATTATAGGCAAGTCGCTCGTATCTTTGAAGGAGTCCAAACGTTCGAAGTACTCACAGACTAGTTGAAAACTCTCTTCACTTTCTATGCTGAAGACGAGCACAAGTCCATCGATCCAACGGCCGAACTGCTCATCGGGCGGGCCGCCTTCATCTCGTATAAGTAACAAATAACTCTGGCCATCTATGACGACTTCCTTTTTGAATCTTCCACCTTCTGGTGATTCGTCTTTGAGGTACGTTCCAGTAAGATACCGGTGAACGAGGGCAGCTTTGCCGCTGTGCACAGATCCGAGTAGGCCCTGAGACATGTGATCATTTATTTTGACTTACTAATTTAATCAGGGGCACCGTATGTCCGAGTGTCCACTCCTGACTATTTACGAATGCATCTTAAAGTAAAGTAGCTGGGGACAGATTGAGAAATTACCTTCTATGCTAGCTACTTGACGTCTCTGTGAATCTGCAAGACGCCGGTCGGCAACAGAGTCGATCA